AAGACATCTATCCACCTAGGGCACTTACTAAAAACTGAAGCATGCTGGGAGTGGGAGGGGTTAGACCTGTCTGGCCAACAGCTTTTTTTGTTTGTTTGCCAGTGTCCAAATCCTATGTCCCTTAATGAATAAGTGAACTAATAAAGAAATTGCACTGTACTCAGGGAACCCCTCTCCAGTCCTCAGTTCCATGTAATGTTTAACCTGGACCCACCACAGTGGTCAGAGAGACATAGGTGCTGCCAATGTAGATTTCATTCTCAAAATTGTAGGTATATTGCTGTTATGTTAACCCAACTTCTTTAGTATTTTCTGAGTTACGGATCCAGGATAAACACAAACAGATGGATAGCCAAAATTCCTTATCTGCATACTAATTTTTGGTTTCTGTATACTTGTTTTTGGTTAGTGACAAGGTATTGAAGACATACACCAATCAGCCGTAACTTTATGCCCACTGACAGGTTAAGAGAAGAACATTGATTATCTTGTTACAGTGGCTTTCGAAAGTGACTGGGATGTATTATGCAGTAAGTAAACATGGTGTCCCTGAAGCTGATGTATTGAAAGCATAAAAATTGGGTATCACAATTTGTTGTGGATGGGACTGCACATCCGCAGACCGGTCAGGGTGCCCATGCTGACCTGTGTCCACAGCCAAAAGTACCTTCAATGGGCTTGCGAGCACCAGAACTGTACTACAAAGCAATGGAAAAAGATGGCTTGTTCTAATCAATCATATTTTCTTTTACATTATGTCGAGGCCAGGTGTGTGTGCATCATTACCTGGGAAACACATCACACCAGGATGTACAGTAGAACTGGAAGAAGGCAAGCTGACCAAGTACACCCCTTCACAGAAACAGTATTCCCTGAAGGCAATGGCCTCTTTCAGGATAATGCACTCACTGCAAAAATGATTCAAGAATGGTTTGAGGAACACTGAGTTTGAGGTATTGCCTTGGCCTCCAAATTTTCCAGCTCTCAATTCAATCGAGTATCTATGAGATGTGCTGGCAAAGTCCGATCTATGGAGGCTCCACATCGCAATTTACATGACTTAAAAGGATAAGTTTAACTTTTAGCAACAACTTCTGTATTCAGTTTGTATCATCACACCAAAGCAGCAGCCCCCCACCCCTTGATCCCACAATCTAACAGCAGGCAGGGGATCCTCTTCCAACACCTTCTGTCACAATTTAAAAAAACCACAGCTGTGTGGGGTTTTGCCCACACAGCCATGTAATTTATTCGCAGCAATCTGTCAATGAACTACAAGTATCATCCTCCAATGTGGCAGACAGCTTGTAGTTGTTAGTAGGTACTCTAGTAGTTCATCGATTCTTCCTGTACTTCAGTAACTGTCTTCCCATAGAGGAAGTATGGACAGACAGCTGTACGGAGAGTCTGTAGAAGCCCGACATGGCAACCGTGATCTTCTGATGCTCGGCAAGCTCCTATAAAAAAAAAAAAAAAAAAAAAAAAAATTAATAAGTGCACATTTTTACCTGCAAAAAAAATATATGTGCATTTATTTATTTATTTTAAGGTGCTCTTATTTAAAATAGAAGAAAGAAGAAAGGTGCCTCTAAGTGTAGACTTTAAAACACAATTATTGCACACAATGAAGAGCAACTTACAAGAGGGTAGCATAAAAGCAGGCACATCAAATATCTGTCATGGGAAAATCAGCTGCGGTGAGCAACATAATGTCTGGCTGTGGATGGCAATCGACCTTCTGTCGGCGTCCAGGCAAGCTGGAAGGGGCCTGGTACTGAGGTCTGGAATGCACATGCAACATATGCATGATAACGTCACCGAGCTGTGAGATTGTTGTTCCAGGCGCACTCCTTTGTCAAGAGCCCTCGTCACATAAAGGGGAGAAAGCCTGTCCGTTCACTTCGTCTACTTCCTTCCTCTGCTCAGGAAGGAAGGCAGAGAAAGGAAGTAGATGAGGTGAACGGACAGGCTTTCTTCAACTCTTCTGGGAAGGCTGTCCACAAGGTTTAGGAGTGTGTCTATGGGAAGGTTTAACTATTCTTCCAGAAGCACATCTGTGAGGTCAGACACTGATGTTGGACAAGGAATGGCTTGCAGTCTCTGCACTAATTCATCCCAAAGATGTTCTATCGGGTTGAGGTCAGGACTCTGTGAAGGCCAATCAAGTTCCTCCACCCCAAACTCGCTCATCCATGTCTTTATGGACCTTACTTTGTGCACTGATGCTCAGTCATGTTGGAACAGGAAGAGGTCATCCCCAAACTCTTCCCACAAAGTTGGGAGCATGAAATTGCCCAAAATGATTGGTATGCTGACGCCTTAAGTGTTCCCTTCACTGGTACTAAGGGACCAAGCCCACCCCCTGAAAAACAATCCAACACCATAATTCCCCCTCCACCAAACTTCACACTTCGCACAATGCAGTCAGGCAAGTACCATTCTCCTGACAACCACTAAACCCAGATTGTCCATCGGATTGCCAGACAAACGTGATTAGTCACTCCAGAAAACATGTCTCCACTACTCTAGAGTCCAGTGGCGGCATGCTTTACACCACTGCATGATGCTTTGTATTGCACTTGGTGATGTAAGGCTTGGATGCAGCTGCTTGGCCATGGAAACCCATTCCATGGAACTCTATACACACTGTTGTGCTAATCTGAAGGCCACACGAAGTTTGGAGGTCTTTAGCTATTGACTCTGCAAACAGTTGGCCACTTAATGCACTGACCCCGCTCTGTCATTTTATGTAGCCTACCACTTTGTGGCTGAGTTGCCGCTGTTCCCAGTTGCTTCCACTTTGTTATAATACCACTAACAGTTGATCATGGAACGTTTGGCAATATAATATATATATTTTTTCTCCTTAGGAAACTAGAATTTCTCTTTTAAAGGATCTGCTACTGACAGCTCAGTACCAGACACCACAACATACCTTCAGGGGATCTATTGGCGTCCATGTCTTGATGGGTCAGGGTTGTTTTAAAGGCAAAAGGACAGCCTACTCAATATTAGACGGGTGGTCATAAAGTTATGGCTGATAGATGTATGGTCAGCAATCACACCTTTCATGTTTCTCTCAGGAAAGGTTCCCTTCAACACATTCCTTTAACCCTTGGTGCTGCTGAACACTCCTGCACTTCTATTTTTTTTTTTTACATGCACACTTATAGCACATTAAACTTGTGTTGTGGTGCGTTGCATCATTGTCTTGCTGTATTGGCGTGTTATTCAAAATCAGTGACACGGCAACTAAAGTGTGCATGCTGTGGTAAAACCCATACTACAATACAAAGGTGTAAGGCTTTGCTATTGGGCTCATTCACATTTTGCATTGTTTGAACAGCTGTCATGCTGTCTTCTACCCACAAGCAAATTTAAACAGCTTGTTTAAACCTTATGATTGCCATGACATGAACACATGACCTATACTGTACATGTATTGCAATGACCTGTGGTACACATCCTTGACAGTTACAGAGTTAAGTAGGTCAAGGACTCAAATTTGTTTTTTATTTTTTTGTTATCTGGTTGGATCCCTAATGGATCTATACATGCTCTAAATAGGTAACGTTCAGTTAACTTGCATCACAATCATTCACACTTTACAACATAGAGAATTTAATACGATGTACTTTATTGAGCCATTAAATACACAAGACAAAACATATGACCCTGGACATTGGATAAAGGAGGGGAAAATACTATTTGAAAAGAACAGATAAAACTTTGACAATCAACCGTTATGTGATTTCAGGACACAGGACTGAATTACAGGAAAGTACAAAACTAAATATCAGCCCGCGTATATATGTATTTTGCTTTAAAAAAAAAATGTAAAAATTAGCAGTTGATGTACAAACTGATTTTTTAGGAAATCTGCATGATACAAATGTTTGTCCAGGTTTAACCCTGTAAGCTCCCTCCAGTGTATATGGTGGTGTTGGCTGGAAATTCTCCTCTTAGATTAGAGGGGTGACTTGATATGGGGATGACGTGCAAGACAGAAAAGCAGGCAGCAGAAATCTGGATGGCAGCAGAGAACAGGGTGGGCTTCTGTCATCTTTGGAATGGCATTTTTCTAGCGGCTGTATCCAAATTCATCCGCATCATCAGCTCGGAAATCACCATAGCGCCAGAGGTTCAGCTTAAATAACAAAAAAAGAAAACAATAAACATATACACACACACACACATATATATATATATATATATATACACACACACACATACATATAGCATAAATAAGTACACCCCAACAGATTTGTCAGAAAACTGTTACTTTACTTTCAGATTCAATATTTTCTATAGGACACTATACCACAAAATACTCCCACAAGTGCAGGCCATTGACTGCAAACAAAATTTGTTAATTTGCACACACAAAAAAAGTATTTTCATTCAAGACCATGTTGGAAAAATGAATGCACCCCAAAGAAAGTCTTATGATTTCGTTGTCTTAAATTTAGCTTTGCTCCTAACAAGAATTGAACTACAGGTGAGTCTAATTATTCATTAAACAGGTGTCCAGCAGACAGTTGATTATAAAAGGGCATTACTTTACAAAGAAAACCCCTTCCCATTTCATGCTGTCAGCAATGGCACCACATGGATGAGAAATGTCACAAGACTTGAGAAAGAAAATTTCTTTACACAAGAAAGATGAAGCCTACAAGAAGATTTGCTCATCAGTCAGAATACTGTAGCAAAAGTAATAAACAAATTTAACAAAGATGGAAGTGCAACCATCTCATAGAGATGTCCAGGCCATCCATGGAAGTTAATGCCTCAACAGGAGCATCTTCTGATGAGAAGGGTTGAAGAAAATTGCCATGCAAGTTCACTGCAGTTAGCTAAAGAAGTAGAAAGCCAAACTGGGGTGATTGTTTTCCGTGACAATACGGCATACACTGCAGAGGAATGGCATGCATGAGTGTCATCCACAAAGGAAACTTTTCCTAAAGCCCATGCACATAAAATCCCACCTAGAATTTGCCAGGGCCCATGCTGAAAAAGAAGATTACTGTAACTCTGTACTCTGGAGTAATAAGACCAAGATAATTGTTTTTGGAACTGATGGCTTCAAAACTGTATGGCATTGCAAAGGTGAGAGTACAAAGAAAAATGCATGGTGCCTACATAGTGGTGGCAGTGTCCTTCTGTGGGGATGAATCAGTCTGCTAGCGTCAGGGAGCTGCATTTCATTGATGGTATCATGAATTCACAGATGCACTGCTCTATATCGACAGAAAAGATGCTACCATCACTCTGCCCTTGGTCGTCGTGCACTTTTCCAACATGACAATGATCCAAAAAGGCCACTGTTGCATTTCTGAAGAAGAACAGGGTGAAAGTGATTCAGTGGCCAAGTATGTCTCCTGATCTGAACCAAGTCGAACACCTATGGGGAATTCCTAGGAGTCAAGTTGAGCATCACTCTCCATCCAACATCCAGACTCTAAAAGAGGTTGTTCTTGAAGAATGGAAAAAGGTCGATGTTGCAATATGTCGCCAACTTGTTCACTTCATGCCTAGAAGACTTGGTGCTGTCCTTACAAATCATGGAGGTCATGCAAAATACTAGATTGTAGTCGTTTTTGTTGTGGGTGTATTCACTTTTGCATCTACTAATTTGAGTAAAACTGAAGACTTTGTAATCTAAGTCATATTCTTAAACCTACCTACTTTCATGTAATGAGCTAAACAAATGTTCTATAAGACTCAGATATGCACCTGTATGTGTGTGTGTGTGTATATATATATATATATATATATATATATATATATATATATATATATATATATACACACATATATATACACACACACACACACACACACGTGTGTGCGTGTGTGTGTGTGTGTGTATAAAATATACATATATATATATACACACACACATACAGGTGCATATCTGAGTCTTATACACACACATATACATACACACACACACTGTATATATACACACGCACTGGATGTAAAAAGTGTACACACCCCTGTAAAAATGGCAGATTTTTGAAATGTAAAAAACTCAGACCAAGATACATCACTTTACATTTTTTCCATCTTTATGTGCCGATAATCTGTGCAATTCAATTAGAAAAACTGTAATCTTCAAATGGGAAAAAAAAATATAATTACCATTATGTGGCTGCATAAATGTTCACATCCTTAAAGTGGTTGTAAAGGTAAAAAATCTCTCTTTTTTCCCTCTTCAGGGGTGCCCTGCCGATGCTCTTGGATCCTCCTCTTCTGCATGTGCCACCATAGGAAGCCGTTTCTAGGGAGGCACATGCTTGGGCTCGATCTTGCCCCCTGCTCACAGGATTTGATTGAGAGCAGTGGGAGCCAATGACTCCCTCTGATACCTCTCTATCCTGTGAACACAGGCACAGCACTGGATTGAGTGAGGGCTCGGGTACGTTTTAGGAGGTGAAAGGGGCGATACTGGTACTGCAACATTTTTTGTACCTTAATGCAGGGGATGTATTAAGGTAAAAATGGTCTAGCCTTTACAACCACTTTAAACACTTTATTGAAGCACCTTCTGATTTCATGACAATATTCAGTCTTTTTGGGATAGGAGTCCATCCCCACATTGCACTTCTTGCCTTGGGAATATTTGACCTCCCTTCCTCGCAAGAGCACTCCAAATCTCCCAGATTACGAGGGCATCTTCTGTGTACAGTCCCTCTTCAGGTCACCCCACAGATTTTCAACTGGATTCAGGTCTGAGCTCTGCAGGGCCATTCCAAAACTTTGATCTGCCATTCTTCTGACCTTGGAGGCTGTCAAGAGCCCTGCAACTTTAAAGGGAGCTGCAAAACTTTCTGATAAGTACTGGTTTTGTGCCACATGTGACAACAAACTCCCGTATTCTTCATATGTCTGGGCTACGACGTAGTGTGGCAAGATAGAAGCATTTTCTTACTAAGAAAAACATTCAAGCCTGCCTACATTTTGCAAAAACATACATCACGTCTGCTAAGAGCATGTGGAAAAATGTGTTATGGTCTGATAAGGCCAAACGTAAACTCTTTGACCATAATTCCAAAAGGTATGTTTGGTGCAAAACCAACGCGGTCTGCACATCACCCAACCAAAACACCATACCTGCAGGGAAGCACGGTGGTGGCAGTATTATAATTTGGAGCTGTGTTTCTTCAACTGGAATTGGGGCTTTAGACAACATGGATGGACTTATGAAGAATTACTTCATCAGAAGATTTAAGTTTTAGAATGGCATAGCCAGAGCCTGGACCTGAATCCAATTGAAAATCTGTGGGGTGACCTGAAGAGGGCTGTACACAGGAGGAGAGATGCCCTCACAAGCCGACAGATTTGGAGTGCTTTTGCAAGGTACACTGCAAAGATTCCCTGGGCAAGATGTGCCATGCTGTTAGACGTCTTGCCCAAAAGACTGACTGCTATCATAAAATGAAAAGGAACGTCAACAAAGTATAAGTTTAAGGGTGTGTATATTTATGCAACCATGTAATGGTAAGGTTTTTTTTTTCCAGCTTTAAAGATTAAAGTATGTTTTTAATTGAATTGCACAGATTATAAGTCACTTTAAAGGTGGAAAAAATTCAAAAGTGATTTATCTAGGCATTGGGGAAAAATACCATGCTGGATATCGATACTGATATGGACAGGGTAATGTGTTAGGAACGTAAGGATGCCCCATCGTTTGATGGAAATTGAAATTATCAACCTACAAAGAACTGAATTCAAAGACACCCTGAAAATCAAAGTGAAAAAATTATGCAGCAGGCTAGTCCATTTTGCTTAAATTTCATTGCAGCATCTCAAAATGGTACTCTGTAGTTTGTATGGCCCCCACGTGCTTGCAAGCCTGACAATGTCGAAGCATGCTCCTAATGAGACAACGAATGGTGTCCTGGGATATTTCCTCCCAGATCTGGACCAGGGCATCACTGAGCTCCTGGACAGTCTGAGGTGCAACCTGGCGACGTCGGATGGACTGAAACATGATATCCCAGAGGTTTTCTATTGGATTTAGGTCAGGTAATCGTGGGGGCCATTCAATTACATCAATTCCTTCATCCTCCAGGAACTGCCTGCATACTCTTGCCACATGAGGCCGTGCAGTGTCGTGCACCTGGAGGAACCCAGGACCCACTGCACCAGCGTAGAGTCTGACAAGGGGTCCAAGGATTTCATCCCGATACCTAATGACAGTCAGGGTGCCATTGTCTAACCTGTAGAGGTCTGTACGTCCCTCCATGGATATGCCTCCCCAGACCATCACTGACCCACCACCAAAATGGTCATGCTGAACGAAGTTACAGGTAGCAGAACATTCTCCACGGCTTCTCCAGACCCTTTCACGTCTGTCACATGTGCTCAGGGTGAACCTGCTCTCATCTATGAAAAGCACAGGGTGCCAGTGGCAGACCTGCCAATTCTGGTGTTCAATGGAAAATGCCTATCAAGCTCTATGTTGCCAGACAGTGAGCACAGGGCCCACTAGAGGAAGCCAGGCCCTCAGGCCACCCTCAAAGTCTATTTCTGATAGTTTGGTTAGAGACATTCACACCAGTGGCCTGCTGGAGGTAATTTTGTAGGGCTCTGGCAGTGCTCATCCTGTTCCTCCTTGCACAAAGGAGAAGATACTGGTCCTGCTGATGGGTTAAGGACCTTCTACAGCCCTGTTCAGCTCTCCTAGAGTAACTGCCTGTCTCCTAAAATCTCCTACATGCTCTTGAGACTGTGATGGGGGACACAGGAAACCTGGCAATGGCATGCATAGACGTGCAATCCTGGAGAAGTTGGACTGCCAGTGCAAACTCAGTAGGGTTCATGTATCACCTCATGCTACCAGTAGTGACATTAACTCTAGCCAAATGCAAAACTAGTGAAAAACTGTCAGAAAAGATGAGTGGGTGAAAAAATGTCAGCGGCCTCCACCTGTAAAACCATTCCTGTTTTGGGGGTCATCTCATTCTTTCCCATCTAGTGGACCTGTTGTTAATTTCAATAACACCAAAGCAGGTGAAACTGATTAACAACCCCCTCTGCTACTTAACTGACCAGATCAATATCCCAGAAGCTTAATTGACTTGATGCTATATAAAAAGTGTTCCTATAATTTTTTTGAGCAGTGTGTGTGTGTGTATATATATATATATATATATATATATATATATATATATATATACATACATATATATATATATATATATATATATATATATATATATATACATACATACATACACACACACACACACACACACACACACACACACAGTTGTGTTCAAAATAATAGCAGTGTGTTGAAAAAAGTGAATAAAGCTCAAAATTCTTCTAAAAGCTTTTATTTCCATACACACAAATGCATTGGGAACACTACACATTCTATTCCAAATCAAAACATGAAGAAAAATATTTCAAATTTGTGTTGTTCCTCTAAAATAATTGAAGAAAAGTGAATATTAGACTGTTCAAAAAAATAGCAGTGTTTGCATTCTTCTTTACAAACTCAAACATTCACTATATAAACTGAAAAATGTTTGAAGATTTAGCTTTCCTTTGAATCACTTAATTAATATTTAGTTGTATAAGCACTGTTTCTGAGAACTGCTGTACATCTGTGTTGCATGGAGTCAACCAACTTATGGCACCTGTGAACAGGTATTCTAGCCCAGGATGATTGGACTACATTCCACAGTTCTTCTCTATTTCTTGGTTTTGCCTCAGAAACTGCATTTTTGATGTCACCCCACAAGTTTTCTATTGGATCAAGATCCGGGGATTGGGCTGGCCACTCCATAACGTCAATCTTGTTGGTCTGGAACCAAGATGTTGCACGTTTACTGGTGTGTTTGGGGTCGTTGTCTTGTTGGAACACACATTTCAAGGGCATTTCCTCTTCAGCATAAGGCAGCATGACCTCTTCAAGTATTCTGATGTATTCAAACTGATCCATGATCCCTGGTATGTGATAAATAGGCTCAACACCGTAGTATGAGAAACATCCCCATATCATGATGCTTGCGCAACCATGCTTCACTGTCTTCACAGTGTACTGTGGCTTGAATTCAGTGTTTGGGGGTCATCTGACAAACTGTCTCCGGCCACTAGACCCAAAAAGAACAATCTTACTTTCATCAGTCCACAAAATGTTGCGCCATTTCTCTTTAGGCCAGTCAATGTGCTCTTTGGAAAATTGTAACCTCTTCAGCACGTCTTTTTTTCAACAGTGGGACTTTGTGGGGGCTTCTTGCAGATAGCTTGGCTTCACATAGGCGTCTTCTAATTGTAACAGTACTCACAGGGAACTTTACACCTTCTTTGATCTTCCTGGAGATGA